TCTAGCATGTGTTCAAAGTGGGCATGGACTCGGCATTTCTTCTGTCATATGCACAAATATGGTCTTGAAGCAGCCCTATGGCAAACAACAGCTAAGTTGCAACTTTTTGCTCATGTTAAGGGTGAGTGAATGGAAATACCTGGAGAGGTCACCATGAGCTTTTTCACTGTATTTGTCAAGATACCTATTTTTCTTTCTCTGGGCCTTCACAGGCTGCTAAATATGTAGTCTGCGCTACAATCCTGTGTGGTCAACATGACTCACCATGATTCAGTTACTATGGAACGTGGCTGATTCGTCAAGAGAAATGTTTTCATAGATGTACTTCCATGTACTTTTGTCATTGTCGTACAGCAATGGAATCCTAAGTATGTATAAGTCAGTCCCGCTAATTTTAACAGGGCTTACTTTAAAATAAATATATTTATGAGTCCAACCTTAATTTTTGTTGCTTTTTTGAAGCCTATTAAACTGTCTTTTCCCAAGAAAGACACAAATGATTTGTTTGTGTAATATTTATTGATGTTAAACCCACATGATATCAGCACAACAATCCAAAGTAATAATGATTGTATATTTTATATAAATACAAATAAAAAGAAGCAAAATGCTACTAGTGAAGCTAAACAAATAGTAGATTAGCAAGGAGCATTTGAGAAGAAATTCATTAAGCTTGGTTAGGAGGTGACAGCAGAATGGATCATATGACAGACGGTTTATGACAGTACAGACATTGAAGAAATGCCCGTAGGTGCGGTCATAACCACTTGCATCAGTTTGTATAGAAGAACTACCTTTTGTGTTAAACTTGCTAGCTGCTAAAAACCTGGTTTGTGTACTTGTGTACAACACGGTGCAAAGCAATACATGTATAGCAGTAACGCAAAATATATGATGTGGTACATAATACAAAACTTTTTTTTAAAAAAAGTACTGCGCTTGAGTAACTGAGCTGAGATAAAGATTTCAACATTTTATTATAAATAAAGTACTATAACCGTGCTTCATATAAAGGAATACAGTGTTTTCCTTTTATAGTAAAGTACTCTTGTACCATCAAAACCTTCCCCCCCACACCAGACCCAATTGTTCTTCTACTTCCTCCCAACTAAATTTAGTTGTTTTTGAATCCAAATTATTCAATGCAATAGTCCAGTTAGATGACATAGTCTACAGTCTGGAATTTCAACAATTTTTGCCTTCTTTACAAGATTTGAGCCATAGGCAGGGTTGCTGTGTCTTACTGCACTAGATAAGAACACAAAAGTGTAATTTCTAGTACATCATGCATGCAGTGTTTAAAATGTAACACCATTTTACTTACCATCATTCTTCATTCCATTTTCCCATCTCTAATTATTCTCTGTGGTGTGTGCTTATCGTATAAACTCTTATTGCAAACTCATTCCTTTCCCACACTTACTCTTCTACTCCTAATTATCCTCTCCTCTGTCATAAAGACAATCTGTCAATCAAATGTCTAGCATAAAAAAAAATCCTAGCATTCAGATAACCATGGAATTTCAGAGACATGAACAACAACGTTTTCATCTTCTGAGAAAAGTCTGGCCTGTTGCCCTATTCCACTTTAACAAATGTAACACTGTAAAACAATTCCATCATAAGGTCTGTGTTTTATTACTGAATTAGCCTGGCAGTACATTTATAACTTAACCAGTTAGTCTGTTGGCTAAAGTCACATTAAGCTATCTGGTGTGAAGCTTCCTTGCCCATACTAAGTACATTTAAGGCAAGTTTCTTTCTAATTTGAGACAGAAAGCCGTTTGCAGATACTAGAATTTAATTTCACTCTATCTTCCTCCCCATGTCTTGTTTTATCCCTTCCATATTGCACATCAGAATACATCGCTGATACATTTGCAGTTGTGTTGTGGCCCAAAGAGCATTATGTGTTTATAGCACCTATAACTCATAAAAGGCACTTGGTGATAAGGTCTGCAGTATATGCAATTTTGAAAAATCTCATTAAGTTCAGCATTTGTGAATAGAATTGTTCAAAATAGTACTTCCCACATAGTAACAAAAATGACTGTGAAGGTGGTATATGTGCGCATCTGTGTGTGTGGAGTGTACACATCTATTTCATGATTGCTACCTACTCCAATTTGGTACAATGATCAAGAAAGATGTGGCCATGGTGTTGTGTTCTTTATCCTTTGCACTTAAAGGTGTCTACCTTTCGCATAAAGTGGCATAAATTATCATTGGTCAAGACAATGGCTTTCAGTGTTTCACTTTGAAAGAAATTGGTAGACCCGACAGCTAAGGTTTACAGATCGTCGCTTTCTACCAGTCCAGACTGCAGTGTCAGATGAACTGGGTTTGCTTCTGGCTGAAACGCTGCTTTGATGTCTAGTCCTTGGTCAGAAAGTGCGGCATATCGACTAGCTGAGGGACGCACCTTCTTTGGCTTGGTGTTCTGGGACTGTTGTTGCCACTGAGCTATAGAAAGAGAAAGTTTGTTACTGTGTCACAAGCACTACAACATTTCTGCAGCTGAAACTACCATTTTGGTACACAAAACAATCCTTTTAAAATAGAGTCATCCTGACCTGTAAAGTAGGCCTGTGAATGCAGATGATGTAAACATGACATGCATCTAGCTGTGCATTTATATCACATCTAGGTGAAGGGTGAAATGTAAAAGGGATGTACATCTCAGTTTGAGGCCACTGTCTACGCACCACACAAACAATGAGAGCTGGATTGAGAGCAGGAATTTACGGACTCAAGTAATCAATTTTTCCTCTTTATGTTTACTGGGCTAGTGGCTGGCTCAAGGTATTTTGCCACCCCAAGCAATGTACAATTTTGTCCTACCCCCACTTAGTTCCTGAACAGTGGGTTCATGGAAAAATAACCTATGGTTCCCTATAGTTTTGTTTTAAGTTCCCTTACATTAAATATATAGTACTTATCACAAGGGATCACAAATCCATGGTAAAATTGTTTTAATCCATGTTGCAACTACACTCCTCTTTTAAACACAAAGGAGTTTTGTAGTACCTCAAAGACTAACACACACATTGTAGCATACACAATTGCTGAATCAGAATTTAACAGTAGGTTTAATTGCATTAACCAGGGCTTAAATTGACACCATTATAGCTGTTGTGAATGGTAACTGTAGTACTAAATTGAAAGGATGGCCATGAACCCAAAAAATCTGGTTTGGTTCAGGGTTCGGAGTGGCCCCCAAACCAGCCCATGAAACAAGCCAAAGGCCCCGAACAGCCAAACTGGACAAAAGTCTGGCAAATGTTCAGGGAAACTGCCTTCCCTGAACATTGGCTTGGGGGCTCTGAATCAACTTGTGTTTGTGCTGAATTTTGGCTTGTCAGCCGGTTTGTGCTCATCCCTACTAAATTGTACTGCTTGCATTTTATGGCTGTTTAATTCCTCTGTTCTTTATTTCCCCCTTTTATATCTCTCTGTGTGTTTTCAAATATAAGGGCTGAACACACAACCCTTTCCTCTAGGAAAAATCAACAACTCTACTCCTGATTTTTGCCAAGTTATGGCCACTTCAAAAATATGTATTTTTCAAAGCAACTTACCAGATCAGTGAAAACAATAGTTTTTTAAAATGTTGATAAATTAAATTGAGTGTAGAAATTTGAAGAAGTTCCTTTGCTTCTCCCAAACTCCCTCTGTTTCCCATCACTAGAAGCTTCTGTTGCAGCCTTTACTGAATTGGAAGGTAGCCAATAGTACATTCATCTGACTTGTATTTAACACTGAAACTTCTTGGAGGACAGTTTTGGGAAGGGGAAATCTCCAAATTTATTTGAAGGAATTCCTTTTATTACAGCTTCTTTTCATGAGTCAGTAAATAAGGCAATCAGTAAGTATTCATGGGTGGGGCAACAAAATAGTGAAGACTTCAGATTAGAAGTACATCTGTGCTGCTTTCAAAAGATTGCTGTTTTTGATGCCCCTGCCTTTACTGGAAAAAAAGGATGGGGCACATCTGGAGAACAGCCACAGAGGAGTCTTCCAGCTGACCAGATGGTCAGTTCCCAATGGAGGGAGGGAAGGGAAACAGGAATGGCAATGAGAAAGGGCTGTGCTTGTTCCAGGCAGTGCCTCTGTTTGTCATGATGTCCCAAGCAGTCACTTGTTTCATCTTATCTTTGTGACTCTGTGTTAAACTTAGCAACAACATTCATGGCATTCAGTTTGAGCAGTTCACATATTGTGGGCTTTCCTACATATTACACTAGAAGAAACATGAGTGTGCAATGATCTATTTCACAGGGACTTGAACGGTGCACCGATACGATGGATTTCTAAACACAGATTTGTTCATACAGGTCTTTTATGATGACTTATACTTTATCAGGGCTTTTTTTTTTTTTTTTTTTAAAGAGGTGCCAGAACTCTCAAGAAGGAAATGAAGTTTTCAATCTGTATACTGAAAACTCATGAACTTTTAAGCATTTTAAAAATAACTTTGTCGAAGAGGTTCTACAACTTTGTTCTGGCTCGTTTCCCCAGAAAAAAGCCCTGCATTTTATAGAAACCTTAGATATATGCCTAAAAAGTGTACTGTGTGAATTGGCCAGGTGGGAATATTGTTCACAGGCAGGCTGTTTCCAACAGGTTGGAAACGATTGATGCTAACTCCACAGCATACCTCCGAATCCAGGGAAATTAGAAGCAAAGCAGACATACTTTCACTCACACTCTTTCGGTTGATGAAAATATATGTGGATACTCCCATTGAAAACATGGGAACAAGCCATGAACAACAGAACTCAAAATTCCGCATGAGTTGCAAACCATTACTGTGAGTTGCTAAAGGAGGAAGTAGCCACTTCACCTGAACGCAGGGGGCGGTTGGTCCCAGAGCGCACCGGAGCGGCGCTCTGGGAGTGAGGAGCTCAGGGGTGGTCACATAACCAAGCCCCGCCCCCTTCCCACCACCGCCGCGTTTCTCAGCCTGGCACTGGAGCGCTGCGGCCTGGGGGAGGCCAGAAGAGGATCCCTCGCCTCCTCCTCGGGGCTGCGCCGGAGCGCTGTGGTCTGCGGGAGGCCAGAAGAGGCCCCCTGCTGCCTCCCCATGCCTGTGCCAAAGTACTGTGGCCCACGGAAGGCCAGAAGAGGCCCCCACCGTCTTCCCGTGCCCGTGCCGGAGCGCTGAAAAAGTCCCCTCATTGCCTCCCCGGGTAAGTGAGGGATCCATGGGGGTAGCGGGGGCTTGATTGGGGGGGTGGAACAGCTTCCCTCCCTCTCACCATCTCTTTGCCCTTCTTCTTTCCTTCACTCTTTCTTTCTTTCTCTTTCTTTCTTTCTTTCTTTCTTTCTTTCTTTCTTTCTTTCTTTCTTTCTTTCTTTCTTTCTTTCCTTTCATTCTCTCCTTTTCCCCTTTCCCTTCATCTTTCCTTCTCTTTACCTCTTTCCTTCCTTCTTTCCTTCTCTCTTTTTATTCCCTCTTTCCTTCCTTCTTTCATTCTCTTTCCTTCTTTCGTTCCCTCTCTCTAGTCTCTCTCTTTCTTTCTTTCTTTCCCTCTTTCCAACTCTAGTGAGAAGGGGTTTAAAGTTTTTTCGTTCCCCCCACCCAGGCTGGCTGGGGAACGAGAGGCTTTTGAAGATGCCTTCCCCCCCTTTTGCTTCCCCTTCTGACATCACTTCTGGTAATGTCAGGGGGCGTTGCATATGCTAATGAGCTATTATGCTAATAGCCTAGTAGCTCATTAGCATACCATATGCTAATGAGCTCCTGCAGCTCTTTTTCTACGGAATGACCCCTGCCTGAATGTAGGACACAGCCCAAACAACAACTTACCATAGACATCCAGCCTTGCTGTGCAGGACACAATCCCAGCCTCGTTCTTAGCTGACACAGTGTACCAACCAGCATCTTCTTTTGTAGCTCCCTGAACAAGCAGGCAAATGTAACCGTAGTTATCCTGATGCATGCTGAAAAAAGAGATAAAGATTGTAAAACAGTTGTATACACTTTTTACTCTTGTATTAACTTGGAGGTTTTGGTAGGTCCCACTGAGGTTCAGAAGTGGAGAGTAAATTAGTCTAACCTTAGTCTGTCAGTGTCGTACGTTAGAGACTCATTCTCTTTCTTCCAGAAAATCTGAGGGTATGGCACACCTGAAACTCGGCATTCCAGTCGCACAGGATACCCCTCAGCTACGCCGGTGTTTTGTAGCTTCTCTACAAATACAGGTGGCTTGTGTGCTTCCTTCGCTATTTTTTTTTTAAAAAGAAAGCAGAAATCACAAATATTTATTTATAAAGATGCCATACTTTCTTCCTGCTGTCTCGTCTTGCTCTTTCTGAACACGTGACACATAGTTGTTTTGGGAAAGGAGAGTACCCTCCATTTGCAGCTTGTTACAAGTGCAGTCCCAACGCTGTTGTGATTTACAAAGAGACAGTCTAGCTACAGTTAAGCATGCCTAAAGTCTCATTGACTACTGCTACAGTCAGGGCTATTTTTGGGCAGGAACGCACAGGAACAGAGTTCCGGCTGGCTTCAGAGTTGGCCACCCACGCCCACTACAGCCAAAACCTCTGCAAGCCAAGGGAAGGCATGGGGCGTGGCCTAATATGCTAATGAGTTTCTGCTGTTGGGCATGGCCTATTATGCTAATGAGTCCCTGCTGGGCTTTTTCGACAAAAAAGGCCCTGGCTACAGTAATATGCATACTTCTGTTGGAATTAATGGAACTTCATAGACACACTGGCCAAGAGAAATTCTTCACAACCGTCATTGGATGGAGGGAATCTGCCTTACATGTTTTCTCTTTATGTAGCAGCCTTTTAAACATTACCCTTCCTGCATGGGTACTGCTTTTCCAATAGCAGCTTTCCAATTGTTTGAATAACGTTAAAATTGATTAGCCATGTGGGCAGGCACCAACCACATACGTATTTCCTATATAAAGGGCAGCTCCTTCTCTTGGCACTATTCATGCACACCACATCATCTTCCCCCACCACCCTGGTTTCCTTCTCATGGGTAATATTTAGCAGGGCTCTTTTTGTAGAAAAAGCCCAGCAGGAACTCATTAGCATAATAGTCCATACCCAACAGCGGGAACTCATTAGCATATTAGGCCACACCCTGACAGCACAGCTCATTCGCATATTAGGCCACACCCCCATGTTACCAGAAGTGTGGTCATCCAGCCACACCCACCTATTACTTCTTATTCTCTTTACCTTTACCAGGGCTTTTGCATGTTAGGCCACATACCCCTAATTGTAGCCAATTCTAATGAGTTTCTGCTGTTGGGTGTGGCCTATTATGCTAATGAGTTCCTGCTGGGTGTGGCCAACTTGGGAGACAGCCGGAACTCCGTTCCTGTGCGTTCCTGCCCCCAAATAGCCCTGTTTAAAAGTATTCCCCAGTCAAACATAGTCACTTGATATGACCACTCATTGCTCTAACAATCTGGAAAAAAAAATTAGACTGAATTTAGGGGATCAAGTTACCAAATTGTGGACACTATCCACCAAATACTTTTGAACAACACATGGGCTGTATCCAACCAGCTTTTCAACTGGTGATAAGGAACCTGGGATTTTCCTTTGATCACCAAAAAGGCTATGCTCGGAATTCTAGGACCTACATAGACAAAAGCCATATGGGACTGCAGGTGTAGTAAGAAAGGGAATTGAGTGAGATTGAGTGAAAAATCTGTCAGGGTTCAATCCCATATACCTTTTGATAGCACCATGGGATGTCTGTATGCACAGTGGTTGTCTGCCTATCACTAATGTCTTCAGCTGGCATTTTTCTCACAAGAAAGCACACTTTGCCCGGATTTCAGAAGTGCTGTAGCATAAAACTGTTAAAACAGTCAATGGCTGAACTAAAGTTCAACATAATGACTTCCAGCTGAATTCATTCCATCATTACCCCCACAGTGACCATGTTAAGACCTTTATGCCCCTCCTCTGACCCATAACATGGGGTTTTTTTCCATATGAGCCCTGCTTATAAGATAAGTTGTAAGGAATCAAAAATAAAGCACTTTGAGCACTTAAGTGCTATACAGACGTTAGGTATGATGATTATTTTTTCTGAAAACTCTGTGCAGGTCCCTTAGGGAACTCATTGATATTCAGGAGAAAATAAAAGGATTATGCGCAAATCATGAAAAGCTCCAGAGAGGAAAAAGAAACTACAATTGAGGCATAATGCGCAAAATATCAGTGCAGAGGGACCCCGCCCACTTCATCATAATCCTCTGGTAGCATAAAAGCATCAGATCAACCTTTCTGTACCACAGTGGAAGAATGCTAAATGGAAATGTTACCTGCAACAATAAGTTCCAAGCTAAATGTGTTCTGACCAGCTCGATTGGTGGCGACACACGTGTAGATGCCAGCATCCCTTGCTGTGACAGGCTCGATTATCAAAGAGTGCACACCATTTTCACGAACCAGCATTTTGTGGGAACTATCAGAACGTATTACTCTTCCATTGACTTGCCAGCTTATATCTGGAGTTGGTAAGCCACTGACCTTAAAAAATAGAACACAGCAACAACCTTTCAATGAGACAAGCAGAGAGACTGTAGAAAAGATACAAGGGTTGGTAGCAGGAAATCCTGTTCTGTTGTACCACAAATCATAAGTGGACCGAAGTCCATCCTACATTTTCAACTATATCTAACAGACATTACAGTACCTCTAAACTTGAGGAGTAGTTCTATTAGAATAGAAGTCCCACAATAGCTTTAAGTCTTACAACATGCATAATGGAAAGATATTATGTGCCATCTGTCATCTCATTACTGTTTTGCCCTTGATTACTGTTAAGAAGAATGATCCTTTCAATATCCTCCCTCCTAGTAATGGTACAGAATCTAGCATTATAATATTTTTTAAAATAATTCATTAAAAACCCATTAC